ATTCACTTTCTTTTAGCTCTGTTTTTGGTCTCTACCCACCACATGAGAAAAAATATTTGACTCTAGCTGCAAAAGGCACACACAACACAACTAACTTTAAATACCTGCCTTTGGTGCTGAGCAGGTGTATGTATTTTTACTGAAAACAGCTGCCTGCAAAACCAACACAATTAGCTGAAAGATGCTAAAACGCTGAAGCAAAAGTCCACACAACCGCAGTTTAACTAATTATTTATTAGCCCTAATAATGAAATAAACACGTGGACCATACTTTTCTGTCTGAATGAATTTTGTCTTTTTCTACATTGCCTACAATATGATTATGTCAGTTGAAGTTGTTAAAGCTCTTTATAGCTTCAGTTCATCAAAGTATTAGTATTGTTTTCCTGTGTCACCAGTGGTGGAACAAGCACCCAGATCCTTTACTTAAGTAAAAGTAGTGATTCAACAATGTAAAAAGACATAAACTAGTCTTACAGTCAAAATTGTGTTTGAGTGATAGTAAGAGTGATTATCAGAAAAATATAATTACATATTAACAGTAAAAGTACTTATTACACCGCCAAATGTCCCCTGTCAGAGTTACATAACTATATATAATATTATTGGAGTATTAGTACTGATGCATAAATGTGTAATAAGCAGTGTGTGTGTAGCTGGTTGAGGTGGATTTAATTATAACTACCATATATAGTGTTGGGTTGTTAAATCTGTAGAAACTCTTATTTTATAAAATCATATGTTCAGTATATACAATCTTAATCTCCTAATTGTAGCTGTCAGAGTTAAAAGAACAATATTTACCGAGTGTATATAAGTATAGTGGATTAGAAGTATAATGTACTTACACCTCGAGTACAGTACTAGAGTACTAATGTGTCTTTTTTAAATCCCTTTAATTGTCGACTTCTTTACATCTTTCTACAACTGCATCTTTGTCCTCTGAAACCCTCCCTCTCTCTGTACATCCACACAAAGAGAAGACAGGAACATTAATTTCACATGTTTACTTGAACTTCAATAGCAATACAAGACAATCAGAACACTTGAGGTCGATATGTACAAGGATCTCAGGGGGTTGCAGAAAAGTTCTGAGGTTTTATATGATCTCTGGCTCTGGAGTTAAGAGTTCTGTTGCTATGACAAACTCCATGGCAACGAGTTCCATCACCAACAGTTAGTGGCAGGTGGGAGGTGGAGGCAGAAAGGGAGGGGGGGGCGGAGGTTTTGGTCTTGATGTGAAAATGGGATTGGTCAAGAGTTCAAAATCAGTCAGATGGGATGTGTGTAAGAGGCCCCCCAGTTGATATTGATAAAATGCTTCACTGTGATACATTAATTATACAAGAATGATGTATATACAGGCACGCACTCACACACACACACACACACGTCCATACACACACGCATGCTCATCAAGCTACACACACACCCGCATGTTCGCTCACACACACGCACACACACTTCAGCACTTTCCTCCTACAGTATGTAGCCTTGTAAAGCCACTATAAAGTCATGCACATGTTCTTTGAAAGGATTTTTTGGCAACACACAAGTGCTTCTTTGACACACTGTTTGCTTGCTACAGGGAGGGAAAACACCCAGCCGATGAACCAATAGAAAGTTGAGACGATGGGCAAATAAGGTTAAGCACCGATGAGATGGGAAGACACAGCAGGGTTTTAGGAAAGAGAGAAGAGGAAGAGGAAGAGAAGGAGGAAAAGTTATAAATGGATCACAGTCATAGAAAAGTAACAAAACATGAAAAGGGGGAAGTCTCGTGGTGATCGGGAGATAGAAGCAGGGAGGAGCCATCACTGTCATCATCATTACCTTCATCATCCATCATCACTATTGTCAACAGTGTCATCATAATCATCATCGTCATCATTTCCATCAGTTTGATCATTCCTATTTGTTGTTTTGACCATCTTCATCCTCCTGCCTGGTTTCTATGCCCCGATCACCACCGCCCTAGTCACAGGCTCGTCACCCGCTGCATCTGTCCGTCGTCTCCCTCAGAGGCGGGCTCTGCTGTGTATGCTGCCTCTCCATTGGTTGCCAGCGGCGGCGGCTGGTAGAAGGTCTGCAGGTGATTGGGTCGAGGGCCCAGTGGGGGTCGCCCCAGGCTGTAGGGAAGCTCCAGGGCGGGCCGCTGGGGCTGGCCAGTGGGGCTGACCTCTTCTGGACCTTCAGGGCTGCTGTCGGGATACGAGAGGGTTGGTGGGGAAGTGCGGGTGTAGAAGCGAGGAGGGGAGCTGCTTCGGCTGTACACCTGGGGAGAGTGGCGGGAGTAGAGATTGTTTGGAGGCGAGTTGGTGTCTCGAGGAGCGAAGATATTGGTCGGGGGAGAGCTTCGGGGGAAGATGCTGAGTGGCGGCGAGCGTCGGTCTCCGGGGTAGAGTGGGGAGGGGTTTGAATCTCGGGCGTAGATAGGTGAGGAGTCAGGGTCAAGGTCGAGGTCAGGGGTCAAAGGCAGAGCAAAGCTGTCAGAATCCTCTCGTTCGCCGTGGTAACGAAGAGATCCTCTTTTCCTTGCGTCAAGACCTCCATCTTTGCTCTCAAACAGGAAGGGTTCCTCCCTGTCAATATCCATCCCTCCCCTCCACACATCCAGAGCTCTATCCTTCTGTTTCTCATTCTCTCGTTCAATCCCCGCTCTCCATCCTTCTCTGTCCTTTAAAAACAAAGATTCATCCTTCTCTCTCTCCATCCCACTTCTCCATCCGTCAATCCCAAAATCTTTCTTCTGAGTTATAAAAGTCTCTTCCTGCTCTGTCTCTGCTCCTCCCCGCCACACCTCCATCCTTCCACCTCTCTTCTCCAGCAGATGAGATTCCTCCCTCCCTCTCTCCATTCCACCTCTCCATTCGTCCATCTCTCCATCTCTCTTCTGAGAGGTAAAAGACTCGTCCCTCCCTCTCTCGGTTCCTCCTCTCCATTCGTCCATCATTCCGTCTCTTTTTAAGAGAAATGTCTCATCCTTCTCTCTGTCCTGGCCGCCTCTCCACGCCTCTGCGCCTGCCTCCCTCTGCTTCATCAGCAACGGCTCTTCCAGAGCCTTGTATAAGGGCTCAGACTCCTGTGGGGGAGGAGGAGGAGGAGGCGGGAGGGGCCTGTCCCGGTAACGATCCCGGTCTCTCTCCCTGTCTCTCTCTCTGTCTCTATCTGTCACTCCACTCGACTCCACTGTGTTGCGGTGGCGGGAAAGAGTACCAGGGGTGCGACTGAGGGTGGAGTAGGGCCGAGCCTGAACATCAGGAGGACGCGCTTGCTGCCTGTCCTGCAGCCCACGACGACTCAGAGTGCCTTGCAATGACCTGTCCCCATCTTTAAGCGGCTCATGGGACTCAGAATCTCCAGAAACACGTGAGTGGGACCAGCCATCTTGTAAGCGTGGCGTTGTGGCGTGATCTTGTCCACGTGGCGTGGAATGTGTCTCAGCATCTTGTGTGTGGTGCCTTGTATGTGTCCAGCCCTCTTGTGCGTTGTGGCGTGTGTTTGGCTGCATGGTGGCAGCCCAGCCCTCTTGGGGTGGCTGTGCGTGTCGAGTTAAAGTGGCAGTGTGAGTGAGAGCCGCCCTGTCGTGGAGATGAGGCCTTGCAAGGCTTCCGTAGCGCTCAGGAGGAACAGGCATGGGAACTGAGGGCCTTAGGTTGCTCTGCACCAGCTCTGAGATGATCATCTTTTCCAGCGCCGCTGCATCAGAAAGGTTACGTCGCATTCCAGCACCGCTGCTCAGATCCGTGGCGCCGTGGGGGGTGAGGAGGGCTGGGGAGATGTCTTCCCCTCCCATCCCGACTCCTCCCTCTCTTAGAAGGTCAGTGCTGCCCACCACGCCAGCTCGGGACCCGGGTGTGGTTCCCAGACCATGCAGGGTGAATGTGTTGGGGGTGTATCCTCCATTGAGACACACACTGTCCAAGCCACAAGACTCCTGGCTCTGGGACACACCACCCTCTGTTGGAAGAAACAGGAAGATAACAATTACCAAAATGAGATAAAAGATTTACATGAAGAAATGTACGTGAATGAATACATGAATGAATGAGCAGAGTTTAGGTTTATGTGCCTTTAAGGGTGTGGCTTTACCAAGAAGATTTGGATATTAACAATATTCTTTGATGAAATGTTTGGCCACATGGAAGAGGGAGATGTCATGTCTTCATGGTCTATGAGTAATTACTGTGTGTAAATATTGCACAGATAGTCTTTGAATGAGCACAATAAAGGAGAGCTCATACTCTGCTTGTTTCTGAAGGTTCCTACTGGTCCACGTTAAGACAGAGAGACAGAGAAGGAGAGTGTCAAAAAACATATAAAAGACAAACATTTCAAGGCAAAAAAAACAGAAAACAGAACAACACACTGGTATAAAACAAAAACATTTCAGTAGCATTCATATGGTACAGAAACGGAAAATGACAGAAATAACTGTACTGGACAAAGGTCTCAACTCAGGCCAATATTATCTATCACAGACATATGGGTATCGGCACATAAGTAATATATGCTGCCATACGAAAGATATGTTTGAGCAAATGTAGAAACAGTGTTGCCATCATGTAGTTTGTTTATGAGAGAGCACTTACAAGTTTATTATTTAAATTTAAGTGCTCTGCTCTGTAAATACCAGGGGCACAAATCTTAACTAAACAAATTTACAAGATCCTTGTTAGAATTGCTTTTTAATTTAATGTTATGTAAAAATGAAATTGAACACAACACCTTGTATACCTTTTAATATAGAAACTGGAGGTATTTACTGCTGGATATTTAGATTTGAATGTATCTTTTTATGAGACACTTGCAAAGTACTACAAGTACACATTAAGTAAAAAAAGACAATAAACAAAACCAACATAACAAGGGAAAGTAAGTAAGTCGTGTAGA